AGCAGGGAGCCCGATGCAGGACTCGATCCCAGGACCCTGGGATCACGACCTGAGCCGAAGGCAGACGCTCAACCATCTGAGCCACCCAGGCGCCCGCCCCATACATTTTAAAAATCATAAAGGACACAATATTTTGACTCTAAATTTATTCAAATGCAGGTGAGATTAGAAAGTAAACAAAATGCCAAGGCCCAAGACTATCTTATCCCAAAGGCGGCGCTGCATTACCTGGGGAATCCAGCCCACACAGCAAGGGAGAATGGGCGATACACTGGGAGAATCGTGGTGATTTTCCGAGAGCCGGCTTCCATCAAAACTGCAGCCTTCCAGTAACAAGCCACCCATCTGTCATGGAAACAAGCAAACCCGTGAAATCCACATCCAGTCCGAAACGTCAGGAGTTACTGTGTGTTAGCACACGATGCAAGGCAACAGACTAGGTACACGAAGTATTCTGAAAACAAAGATGGTATTTAACCTGAGAATAAAGAAGGTGAAGACCGGGGCCAGTGTTCACAGGACTTCCTTATGTCTGGATCTATTTATTTAGCAGACAGTTTGGAAAGAAATGCTTACAATGTATTTAGTTACAACTGCAGGTATGTTGGTATTAGATTAATAGAAATATAATGGAAAATGCCCCAAAGTTAGTCTTTCTCCAACAGGGTGAAAGAAAAGCATAATTAAAGAAGACTGTGTGCTCCCTGCTTGGGGTTCCGACATCATTTTCTAAAGAAAAGAACAAAGCTCAGAAAGTTGAATGCAAAACATCTATGACATGTAGTGCAAAGCTGAAAGAATAATAAAGTTAATCTCTTTCTCTAGATTAACCTTAGTGTACATTTAGGGAATTATGAAAATAAAAATATAACTATTTTGATAATATTAGTTTCATATTTCTTCTTTAAAAGCGTTCACTCTTTTAGTTTCTGCACTGCTGATCTACCCTGAGTTTATTTAAAGTCAACAAAGGTCAAGTCAGTAATTTGTATTCAGAGCCACATCTACAGTCTCTTAATGTGGACTTGATAGAAAATACAGAACAATCTCTTCTTTTTAAAGGTTTTACTTATTTTAGAGAGAGAGCACCTGAGCAGGGAAGGGGCAACGGGAGAATCTCAAGCAGATTCCTCGTTGAGTGTGGAGCCTGATGCGGGGCTCAACCCCAGGACCCCGAGGATCATGACCTGAGCCGAAACCAAGAGTCAGACACTTAACTGCCCGAGCCATCCGGCGCCCCAATACAGAACAATCTTATAAATATTACCTAGTACCTTTAGGTTTTATCAAATGCTAAATGAAAGTGCTATAGAATTTAGTCAAGAGAACACTTTATGTTGGAAGACTCACTAGAATTTAGCTGAGAATGGGTTTTAGGGAGTGCTGTAGGTCTGAAGAGGTAATAGTAGAGTATGCCTTGACAATTTTGAATAGCTAATTTTACAGTAAGATTGCTGTACCATAGAAAAGACAGGTAACTTGTCAGTGAGAGAGCTGGTATAAAAACAGAATTACTGAATACCTAAGTTCAATATTTTTTCTACTACAGCACTGACGTGATGATATTCGGGCCACTTTAAGAGTTGATAAAGCATGGTAGCCCTGAAAAAATGTTAAAATTTAGAGAGTACCTGCTAATTTCAGTGGTAGAATCTCTCTAGGTAAGACATTTTAAGGCCTCTTCTAGAAATTTCATCAAGTTTCAAGCTGAAGTCGTCCGCCTGGAAATTCGTAAACACAGTTCTTGCTGAAAGTACCACAGGAGGGAACTGAGACACAAACGCATTGTTGTTCCCTTCTAACAAGGAGGGGTGCTGAGAAACCGTATTTCCTGGAGTCCTGTTTCAGTAGTTGGCACATCTAGAGCCTGACAGACATCCTGGGCTCCCCCAGCCTCCCCTGGGCCATCAAACTGCCCAGTCCTGCCACTTCTAAGAGACACCTTCCAAATCTCTCCTTTTCTCTCGGCACCCTCTAGGACTATCCTATCATGAAATTTAAAGGCCATTGGTGGAATTTAAAGACCTCATCATTCCTGAGAGTGACACTACAACATAAGAATGTCCAACGTAAGAATGTAAAAAAGTAATACCCTATCGTCTATATAATAAAATGGTAACATATCAGGGATTGGAATGGTTTCAACAAAGGTTACCCTTGTTTCAACTGTAGCTTCTTTAAAGGAAGGAATGAAAGAAGACAGGCCCAAAACATTTCCTTTATTGCTGAAACACAGCTTGGAGGATCTAATGAGTCTCCAGGCAAATGGATTTCCTAATGTGAAAATCAAGAATCGAGCAGGCTTCACTTCTACTTATACAAGCACTGAGCTAAGCACCCAGCCACAGAGACTGCCCAAGAGGAGCAGAGCAGAATGTTATCCCCAAGAGAAAAGCCTAAGGAAGACACAGGACTCCACCAGGTCCCACGGGAAGCGCAGCGTGCCGGAATGCTAGGGGACCGCGCGTTCCCAGCATCCTGGGCACTGCAGGAAACAAGCGGATTCGGCCAGGCAGAGGACTTGTCGTTTTGCCTTCGGTGTGTGGTGGCCTCACAGTAAACGGGACGGCAAGGGGCTCCGGAGCTCCGGAGCTCCCGGCGAGACCTGAGTGGTGAGCGCATCGGGAGCCTGATGCAAGCATGTCCCAGCACCCCACTTCACAAGGGCTGCTGAACAAACAGACAAGTGATGGCAGGGAGGACACTGTAGAGGGCCACGCTTCGGGACCTGGAAATCAATATACACACGCGTTCTCTTCAGTAGGTCTGGAGGGTCTGAGATACTGATTGCTTTGGGAACTACAGCCTTGCTTGAACACGTCAGCAGCTGAATTCAGTCTAAGGTAGTAGAGCTTGAAAGAGAAATGATGAAAAATACATACCTTCCTGCACATGTATGTTTTCAGAGAGCCTTACAATAAATGTCTGAGGAAAGTTATTATTTAAATCCATTGATAAAGGAGACAACAAGGACTCAGATTACTCCATGAATTGCTTAAAGACACATGGTTATTTTTTGGAGAACTAAGATTAGAATATTGTTTTACTAACTGTTGGCCTTTTCTCCCCAATCTATAAAACGTAACATAGAAGCTTGGGGTTTTCTGGTTGTTGATCATTTTATTCCCATTTTGTAAGAACAGAGGCAACATAGTTCCAGAAATATTAACACACTTTGACTCAGAATGTAACTCATTTCCCTTGCTGTTTGTACCACTGTAGATCTGAAGAATGATGCCACATTCCATCCGTGGGGCTCACAGCTGCCAGAGACCACCCAACCTGGTCAAGGGCATGGCTCCTGGATGATATGTGTCCTCTCCCTTTCCTTAACAGCTGGGCAAGAGTGTATGACAGAGAAGGTAGTTCTTACAGGTTAGAGGCTCAGGTTAAAATAAAATGCCATGGGATGAAAGAAAATCCTTCCGATTCCTTCAGCTTCAGGGGAGAATTTTATAGCTATCTATAGAGAGCCAAAAGAGAAAAATCCAGCTTGTCGTTAATGAACATATTTCTGGCATATGAGAACACCATTACTGACATGACAAGCCTACCACGGTGCCTCTCCTGTTGTAGGCCCAAACTCAACAACCCAACAAGCGCTTGAGTGAGCACCCACTATGTAATTATCGTTTGATGTATTTGGGATACAATGAAACCATGAAAAAAATGACTACTCTCATGGGACTTACACTCCAGTGGATTAAGACAGACAACAAATAAACACAATAAATAAACTATGTAGTAAGTCATAAAGCAGTAGTGAAATGAAGATTGTTAAACTGGGAACTACAACTATGTACACAGAACTTCTGAAAAGCCAGTTGCCCACGGTTACGTAAGTTGAAGAACTGTAGTCTCACATTTATGTAAAGACTGAATTGCATGTGATGCCCTGGAAGAGATGGTGGGGATTTAAGATGGGGAGCACTGCCCTCTCCTCAGACCAACCGCGGGCCAGGCAGAGTAGCCCAGTACCATACTGTGCTGGGTCACAGCGGGCAGAAGGCGGAGGGCGGTCCCGTGTGCGAACAGGAAACAAGAATGGCTGGAACGCGCTGGGCTGCACAGGAAGGCTGGCATCACTGGGGACAGGTGTCCACGGCAGACTGTGACCTGGTTTTCTTATTAACATGCACATGATTACCTACCGTTATTTATTATTATAAAAGTAATGGATTTTTAGTAGGAAAGCTACCAGAGAAAATCTATGCTGCAAAAGATGGCTTGACTCTTTTTCTTCTTAAACACATACGGCTTCGGGGCACCTGGGGGCTCAGTCAGGTAAGCATCTGCCTTCAGCTCAGGTCATGATCCCGGGGTGCTGGGATCAAGTCTCATGTCGGGCTCCCTGCTCAGCGGGGAGCCTGCTTCTCCCTCTCCCACTCCCCCTGCTTGTGTTCCCTCTTTTGCTATCTCTCTGTCAAATAAATAAAATCTTTAAAAAAAAAAAAAGGACTCAAATATAAAGTATTTATCCACGTATCTCTAATTTGGGGGCAGCATACTATACCTTCTTTTTTTTAAACTCCCTACTAACTCTCATATCAACTAGGAAAAAAAAAATCACAGTTTTTAGCATCCAATACATGTTGTTGTAGACGGTGCTGGGACAGACAGAAATAAAAATACTTTTTCCTTCATGGAAAAAATACAACAAACGTATTTTTAAGTCTAAAAGGACATTATATGAAATTCTGATTATCTTTTCCAATCTCCCCCCACCCACTTACGTACACATGAAAATGCCTCTCCTGATATTTGATCTCAATAAGTCCCTTTGAAAGCTCATGCATTCCTAACATGCTGAAATCATATGACAAAATTCATTCTTTATAGAGAATCACTGCCCAAATAGATAAAAACATCTGCCTTGAATCTAAGTTTTCTCTCTTTGTACTGATGATTCTGTCAGTTATTCATTCATTTAATAGCATTTTATATGCTAATGTGCTCAGAATTATAAAGGCAAAGCATTTTAGTATATTCCCAAATAAAGAGCATACTAATCTTTGAAGCTAAGAATTTAGCTTGTGAAACAATGTATTCATATTAAATACACAGACTGTAAGTTTTGGGGGAATGAGCATTTTAGAAAATAAAAATAAAATACTCCTCTGGGATATGTTAACCTAACGAGGATTAATAAAGAGAATGAGTCCTCACTTGGACCTCAGACAAAATACAGGATTTGGAGTAAAGAAAATTCTCACCCGTCACCTGTCAGTGCCTAATCTCTTCCCACTTCTCCAATTCTGCTTAAATGACAGAGCCTGAGGTTCCAGAAATTTCTGTAATTGTCATAATTCCTCAGCCATTCCTGAAGTTAATAACCTAGTGCAGGC